CCAACAATCAGAATGGCTGAAAAGGCATTGTGAAATACGTTGTTTTCTATATAAAGTTTGGAGTTCCGGGGCTGGAGAGATACACAGTGGGTAGGGCGTGTGTCTTTCACGTGGCCATCCCGGGTTTGAGTCCCAGCATCCATATGGTCTCCTGAGTGCAGAGCCAGGAGTAACCCCTGTGAGTGCAGAGCCAGGAATAACCCTTGTGCATCGCCAGGTGTGATCCAAAAAGCCAAAAAAAAAAAGTTTGGTGTTCCTCCCCTCCAAACACAGGTGTGAGGTGCTGCGTCTCGCTGAGCAAGCAGAAGGAAAGCAGAGAGCTCGGGCCCAGTGGTTGATGCAGATTGCTGGGCCGGGCCGTCGAGCAAGGGAAATTTGGGGATCTCTGGGACCCTTCCTCGGGCCCAGTGCTCTCCGGGGCCCCTAGCTTGGTCGTGTCCTACGAGTTGGGGGCGAGCCTGGCTTTGTGCTTGCTTTGCGTTTGGACGGGCAGGTGGGGTGTTCAGGGCCCAGCTGCTGACACCTGATCCCGCCCTGGCCAGGTGGGAGGACGGAGATTGGCGGCTGGCCCCTGAGATGCCCAAGATAACCAGTCAAGGAGATAACCAGAGTCAATCCCAGTCGAGTTGGGTGATAGGCTGAGATAACGCACCAAGCCGCTGAGGCAGATCCTGTCTGGAGACGCTCGGGCACCTTGATCCCAGGCCGGCCTGGCCTGGCAGGGGGCGGAGGCGAGTGGGCACCAACCAACCTCGGCGTTTCCGTGGCTCAGAGCTTCCGGGCCCTTCCGCTTGCTCTGCTGTTGTTTTGATTTTGGGTCACACCTGGACATGTTCTGGGGTCACTCCTGGCTCTGCACTCAGGACTTACTCCTGGAGGTGCTCTGGGGTCCCTATGGGATGCCGGGATTGAACCCAGGTCAGTTGTGTGCAAGGCAAACGCCCTCCCCGCTGTACTAGAGTTCTGGCCCCGTGGCCCAAAACTTAAAGAAAAATCCTTGCTGGGGTTGCCCCGTCGCTGGCGCCCTGTCAGCCTCGTGGGTCTGCACACGGCCTCGAGTGGCCAGTGACAAGGTGCGCCCTCCTGGCCTCCTGCTCCCCAGGGCTGCTCTCTGCCCGGTGCTCCCGGCCCTGCAGCCCTCAACTCCTGCCCTGTGTTCCCTCCTCCTTTCTGTGGTGTCCCCCTCCTCTCTCGGTGGCCCTCCCCCTGGGGTCACCCCCCTTCCTGCGTGGTGCTGGGACAGCAGAGCTGCCTGGTTTGTGCCGGCTTTGTGCCAGGTGCACATGTGACCCCTGGGACTTGGACTCAGGACCTCATGCTTGTGAGGCAGTGCTCAAAACCCCCTCTCGGACATTCCTCCCCTCCAGGCTGAAGGAACGTACTTGACCCACGTTCAGGCTCACACCTCTGCTTCCTGCCAAATCACTGCCGGCCACTAGCAGGCCAGGACCCGTGTGCCACGCCTGTGTGAAGCAGGGACGTTCTGGGGCGTGAGCCTGCTAGCGTCTTTGTCATGGACACATGTGGTCCCATCACAGGATTTAGGGTCACGGTCCAAACACAGGAGCATGGGGGTGAGGGGGTCGGGGCATGTTTAGGCCGGAGACTCTACTGGGCTCACACACGGCACTGAGTGCTCAAGTCTCAGGGAGACAGTGAGGCTCAAACACATTTTCTTTCGCGCTGTTTTTTTCTTTTTTTTGGCTTTTTGGGTCACACTCAGGGATGCTCAGGAATTACTCCTGGCAGTGCTCAGGACTGGTGATCGAATCTTGGTCAGCCGTGAGCAAGGCAAACCCCTCCCCACTGTGCTCTCACTTCAGCCCCTCCTTTTGCATCTTTTTGTGTTTTTTTCAGAATTGATTGACTTCCTCGTAGCGTTTGCTGGCCCTGACGTTCTCTGTAGAGTCCCTTGTTGCACACTGTGTTTCGTGGGCACCTTGGCATCAAGACTTGGCGCTTGCCTGGTGCATGGCTCACCCCATAGGTCCCCCTGAGCACCGCCAGGAGTGATTCCCGAGAGCAGACCCAGGAGTAACCCTGAGCACTGCCGGGTGTCCCAAAAAACAAAAGGAAAGAAAGAAAATAGGTATCCTTGACCGGAAAGGTAGCCCAGGGCCAAGGAGCCTGCCTTGCCTGCGGCTGACCCCACCCCACCCTGTACGTCACCCCCACCAGGTCCTGCCAGGATGAGCCCCGATGACTGGATCAGAGTCGGCCCTGAGCACGGCCAGGTGTCCCGTCCAAGTGTCCCGACCTGAGCCCCCAGGTTAGGTCACTCCACCCTCCCCACCTCCCCACCACTCCCCCGTTCCTGCTCACTCATCCTCGAGGGGACCCGCACTCATTCAGCTTGTGCTCCCATCCGAGCAGGCCAGGCCAGACTCCTCTGTACAGCTCTCAGGCCTTAGTGGGCTGGGCCACGCCCTGGCCACAGTGCGGCAGGTGTTGCTCACAGCACTGGGGTCACAGAGAGCAGGGCTATCAGGGTCGGGCTCAGGGCCTCTGCCCTGTCGCTCTGCCCCTCCACCCCCGCCCCCGCCCGCCCATAGATTTTATGGCCCAGCTCCTGAGGAGGGCCCTGGGCACAGTCACTGGGTCCAGGTCACACTCGGGGGACGCCGAATGACCTCAGTTGGAGATCTGTAACTGCCAAACATTTGTCAAACGTTTTCTGAAACCACTTTCTCAGGGCCCAGGAGTCCAGAACTGGGCCCCGCAGGGACCAGAGGCACATTGGCCAGCTAGTGCTGGCATCTGCAGGGCAGCCCTCTGGAGCCTCAGCCGGACCCTGGCATCACGAAGGGTGGCGCCTGCCCCTTTAAGAAGGGCCCATGATGCCCTCCTCCTTGCGGAATTCTCATTCTACCTTGGAACATTCTAGACTCCAAGTGCCATTTTCAGTCTCTGTAGGAGACTGGCACGAGCCTGTTTGGCAGAGCTCAGTTCTTTAAGCTGCGAGTGCAGTGTGACACAGGTGAATCTGAGTCTCTGGGCTTTTTGCCCGCGTGCGGGTGGCTTTTTTCTCTAACAGTTCTTTAGTGTATGATAGTTTTTAATCTGTAGTTCGTTTAAGTTTTTTTAGTAGTTATATATATATATATTTTTGGGGGGTGGGGGTGGGGTGGGGTGGGGTGGCCATACCTGGCTGTGCCCAGGGGTCACCCTGGCCGGCTAACGTCCCTGTGCTGACGGAGATCGAGCCCAGGACAACTGGATAGAAGGCAAGTGCCCTCCCCACTGTCCTGCCTCTCTGCCCCCTGCGGACTTTTCTATTAAATACGGAATGACTCTGAAGTCAGTGGGCCCTCATGGGGGGCTGATGAGAAGCAGAGGAGAAGATGTCACTCCCCCGGGACTGGCTGGAGCGCTGGCACTGATGAGCGCGACGAGCCCTACCAGCCACACGACACCCACTAGGCCTTCCCGGGGTCTCGGGCCGGAGTGAGGGGTTGCCCTTTTCAGGGAAAGGGAGTCGATCCTCGACCTCCTCAGGCCCCCGGGCCTTTGTCCTTCTCGCAGAAAATCATTTCAGGAGATGAGCATGAAGCAGGAACATTTTATTTGGAGGCTTTTAGGAAGGGGAAATGAGGGAGGGAGTAACACGCTCGAGAGAGAGTGCGGCTTCTCCAGAGGCGCAGAAAGCCACTGAACACGTTAGGTTGCCTGGTTGCGTTCGGTCCGAAAGTCCACACCTCAGGAGGGGAGAAGCCCGTGACATGACCGACCTCGTAGGCAAGAGCAGTCCCTGGGCTCGGGCACACATGAGCGCCCTCCCTTGGTTCAAGGGGGCTAATCTCGGGTTTTCCCCAGGCTGCCCCTGGTGGGAGTTTCTAGCTACCTAGAGTCCGTTGCTAGGGTGGTTGCCAAGGGGGTAGAGTTGAGTGGTCCAAGGTCCTCTTAGAAATTCCTTTCCTGGCCTTTGTTCCTATTCCCTCGGGGGGTCCAGCCTGCTCTGGGCCTCCTAATGTGGGTTAATTTTGACCAGACCTTGGGTCCCGTGCCCTCAGGTGGTCTTTTGGTGGCCATGAAGCTATTGTTGACTTCCTCGGAGTTCCATTGCCATGGCGATGCTTCCCCCATCCACATGTCTGCCTCAGTTCTGTGGGTTAAGAAATGGAGTTAATACTGGCTTGTGGTTATCAAACTTGGGCAGCGTCACAAGGAACGAAGGAAACGCCAAAACCTCCTTCGCTCCCCTTTGGCGCAATTTTTTTTCTTTTTGGGTCGCACCTGGTGATGCACAGGATTTACTCCTGGGTCTGCACTCAGGAATCAGTCCTGGCAGTGCTCAGGGGACCATATGGGATGCTGGGAATCGAACCTGGGTCGGCCACGTGCAAGGCAAACGCCCTACCCACTGTGCTATCGCTCTCCAGCCCCCCTTTGGCGCAGTCTTGCTGGGCCCTTTTCCCTGGCACTTCTCAGCCCATAGAAAAAAGTGTGCCTGTTGCTTGCCTTAGCTTCTGTGTGTAACCCCGGGCCTCTCACACACATACATACGCACACATGCACACACAAGACCAGCCATCACTGCTGAGTCGCCTCCCGGCTAGTCAGTGTCTGGACGGGAAGGTGGTCAGTGGCACTCACAGTGCACAGGGACGATTTCTGGCTCCTGAATGTGTTTGGGGGTGGGTGTGATGCCAGGGAGGGCGTGAGGGTCAGCTGCCCGCAGGGCAAGTACCTGTCCCCTCTGCCCTCTGGCCCTGAATCTGCTGTTGTTTGTTTGTCTGTTTGGGATTGAGTTTTTGTGCAGGAATGACACTTGGTGGGCTCAGGGGGCTGTGCGGGAGGCTGGGGGTCGCACTCGGGGTGGCGAGTCTCAGACTGGCAGCTCTCTGGGCTCCGGAAGCTGCTGTGGTCGCTCCCGTGAGACAGACTCTCTCCTCTGCTCTTCAGAGATTTATCCCTGAGAACGAGTGCGCCTCAGAAGGCCCCACAGTGGGCTCGACAGTCAGGGCCCGGTAGTGGCCGCGGCAGCGTCTGACCACCTGACCATGAGTCTGCTGAGGCCCAGCGGGCTGAAGGCCCCCACCAAGATCCTCAAGCATGGGAGCTGGGCCCTGAAGGCGCCCTCGGCCGGTAAGTGCGCTCAGCCCGGGCCAGGGGAGACTCATTTCCACCCGGGAACCCCCTCCCGAGTCCTCGCCCGGGAAGGGCTCCCTGAGCTGTAGGCACGTTCATGGCTCTGGGGACAGCTCTCACACACGAGTCTCACGTTCTGTGACTCGTGTCACGGCAACTGGTGACAGCTGAGGCGACCAACACGCTCCCTCCTAACTGCTAGCCCCCTCGCCCGGGCTTGGGGACAGGCTGAGGGAGGTGGACTCACCTGGACTAAAGGGCCTCATTGCCGGCCGTAGCCACAGTACAGTGGGGAGGGCAACCGGCACCCCATGGGACTCTCCAGCCTCAACCTCACATGAGTGACCCTGAGCGCAGAGCCAGAAATAGGCCCTGCGGACTGGCTGGAGTGCTCCCCCCCTAAAAGAAAAAGAAGATGGGCCAGTGGACACAGCAGAAATAAGACACTGTGTTGGAGCTTTCTCCTGGCTTGGTCCGTAGCATCACGGGGTGTGTCCAAAGATTTCCCCTCAGCTGCCCAAATATGACTGTGGCCTGGGATGCTGCAGTAGGTAGGCACGTCCCCTTCACGGCGGGCCCGGCCAGGCTTCACCACAAGCAGCCCCCGGCATTGGCTGGGAGTAGTCCCAAGCACTGCTGGGTGTGGCCACCCCCAACCACACTTTAACTGGACCTGGACAGGCCCTTCCTGACCCTTCTGACCCTTCTGACCCTTTCTGCTGTTCCAGCGGCTGCTCCCGTTGAGAAGTCCGTGCCTGGGGAGAAAACCCCCAGCGCCCCCTCCTCGGAGACGCAGGAGGAGTTTGTGGACGACTTCCAGGTCGGGGAACGAGTCTGGGTGAAGGGGAACAAGCCTGGATTCATCCAGTTCCTCGGGGAGACCCAGTTTGCCCCTGGTCAGTGGGCCGGGATCGTCTTGGACGAGCCCATCGGCAAGAACGACGGCTCGGTGGCGGGTGTGCGCTACTTCCAGTGCGAGCCGCTGAAGGGCATCTTCATCCGGCCGTCCAAGCTGAGCAGGAGCTGGCAGGCCGACGATGAGACCAACGGCCTGCAGCCAGCGCCTGCTGCCCGGGCCACACCGCCCCTGTCGGCCGCCCCGGCCCCTGCGGCCGCCCCGAAGGCACCCCAGCCCTCCGCGAAGGAGGCACCGGCCACCCCTCACATCAGCAACCTGACCAGGACGGCCAGCGAGTCCATCTCCAACCTCTCGGAGGCTGGCTCCCTCAAGAACGGGGAGCAGGAGCTGAAGCTCGGGGACCGGGTGCTGGTGAGTGCCGAGGGCAGCGGTCGCGGGTGGGTGTCCATTCGCCTGTCTGGTCCATCAGCTTTCCCAGACTCGCGGTTTGGGTGGAAGCACGAGCAGCCAGGACACCTGGTCCTGCACTTTCCAGCGTGATGGATGCGTGCGGGGATGCTGCCAGTTTTACCAGTTTAGCCAAAACAGGGTGGAGGGGTCATGCCGTGGGGAGGCCGTGTGCTTTGGATGCCTCTGACCCGGGGTTTAAGTCTTGGTCCCATGTACAGTCCCCCAAGCACATCCCGGAGTGATCCCTGAGCACCAAGCCAGAAGTAAGCCCTGAGCACTCTGACTGTGACTCAAAAAACAAACCAACGAACAAAGTTGGAAATCGGTTCCATTGCTCTGGTTTGTGATGTTTGTGTTTGGGGCGTCACAGGGCTCACCCCGAGCCGCTCCAGGCCATTCCGTGCGCAAGCCCTGAGCCGTCTCTCCAGACGTGTGTGGTTTGGTGTTTGGGCCACACCTGGCCATGCTCAGGGCTTCCTCCTGGTGCTGAACTCAGGGATCTGGTAGGGCTCAGGGGACCATCTGGGGTGTCGGGGATGGACCCTGGGTAAGCCACGGGTAGGGACCCGTCTCCGGAACATTCTCAGGAGTATGTTTTGCTGTCTTGGTTGCTCGATCTTCAGACTCAGCACCTGCTCTTGGGTTTCTCTGAGCAGCTCCTGGAAGGCCTTCGGTGGGGGCGAGGGGGCACCCTTTGTGAGATGAGTTTCTGGTGGGGGTCACCAGGTCCCTGCACATGGCATCCTCAGTCCACCCCAAGCCCATTCCTCTGCACAGCTCCCCTAAGCAGAGGCGCTTGGCTGTAGACAACTGTTCTCCCCAGCAGAAGCACTCAATAACGCTTTCAGAACCCGTGGGAAGCGGCCGGGAAAAGTCACCTCGGGGACGTCTGAGGCGGGCGGCTCTGACCAGACAGACTGGGGGCTGGCCCGGAGCCAGTGGCTTCCCGGGGACCACAGGGATGGCCATCGCCAGGCCGGTGTCAGAGCTGTGGAGGCCGGAGAGGAGAGCTGTGCAGGCGCAGGGTGGCCCTCGGAGGGTCCTGGAGGGTCACGGTCAGGGTTCAGGGATGGCCAAAGAGTAACACGGGGAGGGAATTGGAGCTGGAGGAGACTCACGGTTTAAAGACTGTTTGGGGGGCTGGAGCAGTAGTACAGCAGAGAGGGCGTTTGCCTTGCACTCAGCAAACTGGGTTCCCCGGTATCCCATAGGGTCCCCTAAGCATCGCAGGAATGATTCCTGAATGCAGAGCCACGACTCACCCCTCAGCATCGCCAGGTGTGACCCAAAGACCCAAAGAAGAAAAAAGACTTTTTTTTTTTAACTTGCATTCACAACCGTCCACACCCGGACATAGGGACACCAGTGTCGTTGGAACAAGGGAGCGGGGACACTGCCACTGGCTCTGCGGTGAATAACTCTGATCAGTTATTCATTTATTGGTGGTGGTGCTCAGGGCTGAGTCCTGGCCCTGTGCTCAGGGACCACATCCGGGCAGGTGTGTGCAAGGCCAACGCCCTGCCCGCTGTGCTGTTCCATCGCTCCATACCTCAGCTCGAGCACGCCTTTCAAAATGAAGTTTTTGAGGGTTTTTTTGGGGGACCACAACCAGCATAATGGCTGTTTTCTGAAAGAAGAAGGGGGAAAAAAGAAAACCCAAACACTTTCTTTGGTCTTTTTCCTAATTCAAGGAAGGTTTGCTTGGCGCTCCACGGCCTAACGCAGCCGTGGTCAGGAGGCCGTGGCGAGTGGGGGCTGGCCTCGGGGCACCGAGGCGAAGCTCCCGTGCAGGGCTGGCGCCCTCCCGGCTCTCCAAAGGGCCTCCTGCCCTTTGCCCCATTCTTCCCTGCGCACAGGAAGTCCAGGTTCTGCGCCAGCTGGCCCCGATGTTTACGTGACTGACCTCGGAGGAGCCCTTCGGAGGCTCTGAGACGGCTGTTCCAGCCTTAGGCCTGTGGAAGGCGGTCCCCTGCCCCTGGCACTCCCTGTCACTGGCAGTGGACAGACTGCCCCCATGCTTGTGCTACTTTGGTTCTCTCTGGAGACTCAGGGACCCTCAGTGGGCTCACTGGAAATGCCCAGCTCTGACCTCAAGTCCCGTCTGTGCTCGCAAGTAGGCAGGGGTCGCAGAGCGGGACAGTCAGTCTTATGGTGTCTCAGAGCGGGAGGTCACTCTGTCCGTCCTGTGGCGTCTCAGAGCCCAACCGTGAAGAGCTTCTCCGGGCTGATGTGCGGTGGTTCTCCTGACCTTGGGAGATCACTTCCCTTCTCTCCAGCTGAGCTCTGACAGAATGTTCTGGAGACAGGCTTGCGGCAGTTTTGGGCAGATGATATTTCCAGGATATGAAGTCAGGGTCTTGAGAGACGTGACTGGCTTCCAGCTGTGCTGTTCCAGGAGGCTGTTTCCGGGTCAGGGACGGCATGTTCTGTGCCAAATTCTTCGCCGATGAACTTTGCAGCCTCTTCTCAGCCCAGGGCCGCCACCCCAGCCACCTGTCTCTTGTTCTTTTATTCCTTGTCACACTCACAGTGCCCAGGGCCCACGCCTGGCCACGGAGGCTGTGCCAGGGCCTTTGCACATGGCACTTCAGGACTCACAGAGACAGTCCTGGGTGACGCTGCTACCCCTCGTGCTGCGAGTGACCCCCGAGCACGTGAACCCAGTCCTGCCCCAGACCCGAAAAAAGAAAACCGCGCTCTCAGGCATTATTAGTTGAGGTCTCTCTCTCTCTCTCTCTCTCTCTCTCTCTCTCTCTCTCTCTCTCTCTCTCTCTCTCTCTCTCCCCTTTCTGTTTTGACTTTTTGGTTTTGGGGCCACTCCTGGCAGTGCTTATGGGTCACTCAGGCTTTGCACTCAGGAATCAGTCTTGGCGGGCTAGGGGGACCATCTTGGGTGCTGAAGATTGAACCCAGGGTGGCCACACACAAAGCCAGTGCCCTTCCCCCGGTGCTCTGGCCCTTTTTGTCAGCATTCCCGTCGGTGTCCAGCGCTGTGATTCTGTTTTGCTCTGCGTCCCGGGGGCCAAGCATCAAGCCAAGGCATAGTGAAGGAGAACTGGAAAATCGAACTCCGCTAAGATATGAGAACAGTCATTTTCCTCTAGCTGGTTTCTGGCTTAATTGTTCTCCAGCGGTGGGGTTGCCACGGCTCTGCTCCCACACCCACGGGGCAGCGACCCCCTCGCCACACCAGGTGGCTGGCCTGGGTCAGAGATTCCCAGGGGTGTGGTCAGCCAGGCCACCGGTGTAAGCGAGTGGGCGTGAACGCCGCTGCCTTGCATGGACACTGAGCAGCAGCGTCTGCTCACCCTGTAGGGGTTGCAGGGGGAAATGGCACCTTGACCTTTGGGGTTTCTTCCGGAAATCCCTACTCTGAAGCCAGAATGTTCCTTCGCGGGGGTGGGGGCGCTTTGCGCAGTCCAGAGTGCCTGACCCGCGTCCCTCTGGCAGGTGGGAGGCGTGGAGGCCGGTGTGGTGCGCTTCCTCGGGGAGACGAACTTCGCCAAGGGGGATTGGTGCGGCGTGGAGCTGGACAAGCCGCTGGGCAAGAACGATGGCGCCGTGGCCGGAACGAGGTGGGTCCTCCTGCCCCCCCCAGACAGCCTGGGGCAATGCACGGTGCCCGGGAGGCGCTGAGGAGACTGCAGGCCACTTCACTTGGTTCTTAGGCGGGGCCACTTCCGGTGGCACTCGGGGACCCTGCAGGGATGTGGGGACAGCCTGGGGCTCCCACATGCAGCTGTGCTTGCCCGCAGGAACCCCCGGGCCTGCTGTCGCCCTTCAGATGCCGGGGAGGCTGCTTGGAATCGCCCTTGGTTTGCGCGGTGGGGGTGGGAGGCGTGCGAGGGAGTGTGTGTGTGAATGTATGAATGTGTGTGCTTCGGAGTGTGGATATGTATGTAGGAGGGTGTGTGTATGTGAGCGTGTGAGTGTGGGGCTGTGAATGTTGGTGAGGGCATGAGCATGTGAGTGTTGTTGGGGGTGTGAGCATGTTTGTGAGGGAATGAGAGCATGTCATTGTTGGTTTGAGAGCGTGCAAGTGTTGGTTGGGTGTGCGTGTGTGTGACTGGGGCTGTGGGAGTGTGGGAGTGTTTGTTGGGGTTTGAGTGTAAGTGTGTTTTTGTTGGGGTGTGAGTGTGAGTGTGAGTGTGGGACGTTGGGAGTGTGGGAGTGTTGGTTGGGGTGTGAGTGTGTGGGAGTGTGGGAATATCGGTTGGGGTGTGAGTGTGTGTGTTAGTTGGGGTGTGAGTGTGTGAGTGTGGGGCTGTGGGAGTGTTGGTTGGTGTGTGAGTGTGTAGGAGTGTGGGAATATCGGTTGGGGTGTGAGTGTGTGTGTTAGTTGGGATGTGAGTGTGTGAGTGTGGGGCTGTGGGAGTGTTGGTTGGGGTGTGAGTGTGTAGGAGTGTGGGAATATCGGTTGGGGTGTGAGTGTGTGTGTTAGTTGGGGTGTGAGTGTGTGAGTGTGGGGCTGTGGGAGGGTATGAGTGCTTGTTGGGGAGTGAGTGTGTGTGAGTTTGGGGCTGTGGAAATGTGGGTGTGTTTGTTGTGCTCTGAGTGTGTGTATGTTGGGGTGGGAGTGTGAGAGTGTGGGAGTGTTGGTTGGGGTGTGAGTGTGTGTGTTTCTTGGGGTGAGTGTGGGAGTGTTTATTGGGGTGAGAGTGTTTGGGAGTGTTGGTTGGGGTGTAAGTGTGTGTTAGTTGGGGTTTGAGTATGTGTGAGTGTGGGGCTGTGGGAGGGTATGAGTGTTTGTTGGGGAGTGAGTGTGTGTGAGTGTGGGGCTCTGGAAATGTGGGAGTGTTTGTTGGGGTGTGAGTGTGTGTATTTGTTGGGGTGGAAGTGTGAGAGTGTGGGAGTATTGTTTGCGATGTCAGTGTGTGTGTTCCTTGGGGTGAGTCTGGGAGTGTTTGTTGGGGTGTGAGTGTGTGTTGGTTGGGGTGTGAGTGTGTGGGAGTGTTGGTTGTGTGTGAATGGGTGTTTCTAGGGGAGTGAGTGTGTGCGAGTGTGGGGCGGCTGTGAGCATGTGGGAGTGTTTGTTGGGGTGTGAGTGTGTGTGTGTGTTGGGGTTTGAGTTTGTGGGAGTGTGGGAGTGTTGGTTTGGGTGTGAATGTGAGTGTTTGTTTTGGTGGAAGTGTGAGAGTGTGGGAGTGTTGGTTGCGATGTGAGTGTGTGTGTTTCTTCGGGTGAGTCTGGGAGTGTTTGTTGGGGAGTGAGTGTATGTGAGTGTGGGGCTGTGGAAATGTGGGAGTGTTGGTTGGGGTGCGAGTGTGTTTGTTGGGGTGAGTGGGAGTGTGAGAGTGTGGGAGTGTTTGTTGGGGTGTGAGTGTGTGTGAGTGTGGGGCTGTGGAAATGTGGGAGTCTTGGTTGGGGTGTGAGTGTGAGTGTGTGTTGGTTGGCGTGAGTGTGTGGGAGTGTTGGTTGGGGTGTGTGAGTGTGTGTGTTTGTTGGGGAGTGAGTGTATGTGAGTGTGGGGCTGTGGAAATGTGGGAGTCTTGGTTGGGGTGTGAGTGTGTTTGTTGGGGTGAGTGGGAGTGTGAGAGTGTGGGAGAGTTGGTTGGGGTGTGACTGTGTGGGAGTGTGGGGCTGTGGGAGCGTGTTAGTTTGTGGGGGTGTGAGACTGTGGGACTCAGTGGACTCCGCGGTCGGCGCCTGTCTCTCTTGCCAAAGGTGTCTTTTGTCCCCCCCTCCTCGTTGTCCGCAGGTACTTCCAGTGTCAGCCCAAGTACGGCTTGTTTGCTCCCATTCACAAAGTCACCAAGATCGGCTTCCCCTCCACGACGCCGGCCAAGGCCAAGGCGGCCCCCGCGAGGCGTGTGATGGCCACCACCCCCGCCAGCCTGAAGCGCCGCCCGTCGGCCTCCTCGCTCAGCTCCGTGAGCTCCGTGGCCTCATCCGTGAGCAGCAGGCCCAGCCACACGGGACTAGTAAGCAGCCCCCTCCCCGCCCTGTGCGATACTCAGGCCCCCACAGACTCCCAGGCCCCAGGGGCGAGAGGCGGAACAGGACCGGGTGGGCTGGGCAGCTCCGGGGGGCAGGCGAGTGGCTTCCCAGCCACCACCGGTGACAGGAGCAGGGATGGGCCTTTCCTCCGGTGCTCAGGGCTCGTCTCCGGCCCCAGGCTGCCGTAGCGATGAAGTGGGGAAGCTGAAGGGGGCGTCGGAGGGTCAGAGCAGGACCCAGGGACTCTGGGGAACGCTTGGCGCTTGGCGTTGCTTGTTTGCTCTCTCCGTCCCTCCCTGCTCCCTCCTGTCCCTCTGCACCCCTGTCGACACAGAGGGGCCTTGACTTCTGTCCATTGCGGGGCCGCAAGTCAAAGCTGGGGCCTCGTGGCTTCTCCCCTCACGTCTCTCTGAGTCCTAAACACTAAAGTGTGTCCGACTGTGCAAGGGTGTCCTGAGATATTGTCCACAGGGAAACGGGCCCACGATGGAGACGTGTCCCGGGGGGCTGGCTTTGCTGGGGGCTGCGCTTCCTGCCGCCCCCTCTGCTCCCTGCATTGACCCTCGATGCGGAAGAGGAGGGAGTGAGTGTGTGTGCAACGGAAGATACAAAACAGGTGACACGGGAACGGGAGCCAGGAGGCCGCGCGCCGTGGGCACAGGCCTGGGGCCAGTCCTGTCTTGCTTGACCACCACCAGGTTTCCCTGTCCTGCCTCCATCCTCACTTCCGACTCCTCCTTCCCCTCGCCTCGCCATTTAGGAGGGGAGCAGACTCAGAAGCCCCTCGCCTTCCCTCGCGAGCCAGCCCATTTGTGGAATTTGGTTTTGTTTTTATGCTTGACTGTGGGCCACACCCTGCAGTGCTTCAAGGGGCCGTTTGCAGTGCTGGGGTTGAGCCGGGGCCTCCCACCTCCAAGCAAGAGCCCCACACCTGAGCCGTATCTCCAGCCTCCCCCTGCTGTCTTGTTTTGTTCTGTTCTGGGGTCACACCTGGCAGAGCCCAGGGCTTTCTCCCGCCTCTGTGCTCGGGATTATTCCTGGCGGGCCTCCGGGATTGAGCCTGGGCAGCGCTGGGGCTTCGCTCTCCAGCTCTTTGGCCCCTGCCTTGCATATCTTTACGCAGGGTGGAGCTCACTCCTACACTGCACATCACCGTTAGCACATATGACAGGAATATAGAATGAGTCTGTGTGGCTTCATGGAAGTATACCTCCACAACGTAATTCCATACGTGCACACACAAGCGTTCACACACACACAGGCACTCATACATGTACACGTAGTGCATACCGTATATACACAGGCTGATGGGTGTATACACACAGGCACGTACCTGCATAGACAGAACGCGCGCACGCACACAGCTGTGTGTAGACATGCCCACAGGAACGTACGTGCACGCATACATACATGCACACAGGTCCGTGCGTGCCCTGGGGGAGCCTCCCGGTTCGCGTGTTGGCTGAGTTGCTCTTCTGAGGTACCAGGCTCCCACAGAGGGTCCGGCCTTGCTGGCATGGAGCCTGGGGCCTCACACACCATGCGCAGGGCAGAGGCTTTGGCATCAACATCCTGAGTTCAGCTCGTGGCCCCGACCTTGCCCAGCCCCTCAGCACCGCCTCCCCCCATACCAGGGGTGCTGCTTTCTCCCTGCTCCGGCGCCTGAACCTCGCAGTCTCGTCTCCACGGTTGGCTGAAAGAAGCCGTTCGCTCCCGTGCTCGTTTCCTCAGGGAGCTGTCTCGGGCCCAGGAAGCGCGTGCGTCCAGCCGGCCCCACCCGCTCAGGCCAGGAGGCTCGGGGAACACCGCCGCCCACCTTTCCTAGTTTATTTTTGCTCTTTGGTTTTGGGGCTCACCTGGCAGTGCTCAGGGACTCCAGGCGTGGTGCTTGGGGGCTGCTCCCGGTGGAGGGGGTTTGAGCCCAGGTCTTGGTGGAGACCCCCAAGGCTGTCAAGCTCTTCCCAGCCACCCCTTGAAATCAGAGTTGACTGCAGTTCCCGGCAGCACTGCACATGGCTGGGCCCGAGAGCTCGTGTGCTCCTAGAAATTTTATTTATTTATTATTTGGTTTTGGGGCCACACTCAGGGGTGCTCAGGGCTTATTCCTGGCTCTCTGCTCTTGGGGTCACTCCTGACAGTGCTGGATCTTGAACCTCTGAAAGCACCTTCCATCCCCCAAAAAAGAAATCTCTTTGGCCCTGGGGAGAGCATTTAATCTGACCAATATACTTTAAGTGTATTGGGGAGTCACGGCCAGATCCTTACGCAGAGGCAAGGATGACCCGCTCCCCGGACAGAACCAGGTAGCTCGAGAGTTCGCAGCAGGCAAAGCAGCAGTGGACAGCCTGGGCCCTGCTGGGCCTGTCAGTCAGCAGGCAATTGGCAGCAGCTCAGATGATGCAGGGAAGCGGCAAGAGCAGGGCGATGGGTCAGGCGTGGCCGGGCAGAAGGAGCAGACGTCCTCGGCCACCCCCGCCCCAGCGCCCGCCACCGTGTGCCTGAAGAATGAAGACCAGGTCCCGCTGTGTCCCCGCCTGCAGGGGCCGTTGTGCCGCAAGGAAACTGGTCTGCAGAGCGACCATGAGTGACCACGAGCCCAGGACAGAACGGACAGGACCCCCGGTCCCCGCGGCCCTCCAGCCCACTCCCCTCCCCTCCTCACTGTCTTTGCCTCTTCTCTCCTTCCCTTTGTGCTTGGTCTTCCCCTGAGCTGCCCTTGCTGTCCTGCTCGCTGGGCGTGAGCCTTCACACATGCTCACCCACCACTTGTTCCTTTTTTTCCTGGATTTTGGGCCACACCCCAGCAATGCTCAGGACTTACTCCGGGCTCTGCACTCAGGAGTCACTCCTGGTGGGCTCGGGACCCTATGGGGTGGGTACCTGGGATCCAGTTCGGGCAGCGGCGTGCAAGGCCAGCGCCTTCCCCGCAACTTTACCATTCTAGCCTCTCATCCCCCCTTTCGAAGGCAGATGGCACAGGGGTCTTTTATGGGGTCACACCCAGTGACCCTCAGGGGCACGGGGCCATTCCCAGAGACAAGAGTCTCTGGTTACTGCTATTCAGGCCTGGGGCGGGTGCTGGGGAGAGCGAGGTGAGCTGGAAGGAAGAGGAAGAGAGAAGGGCCAGGCTGCCCTGGGAGACCCTGACGGACCTGCAAGGCTGAAGATGCTGGAGCCGGCCTCAAGCTCATGCCAAGGGCTCAGCCTTAAGGAAGCTCAGGCCAGAGCGGGCTGTGGAGGGGGCTGCCTCCGGCTCTGCAGAAGAGTCTCTGGATTCCCACGAGGCCCGAGGTCAGTGGAGCCCAGGTCCCGTCCAAGGACCTTCGGGAAGGTTTCAAGACGCTTCTGCTGAGAGTCGCTGGCCCATATGCACGGATGCAGCGCTGCTCCATCTGCTTTGCTGAGGATAGCCGTGTGCATGCCCGCGTCCGCCACCCCCACCCCCTTCACGTCTCTTTTTCCTTTGCAGTTGCCAGAAACCTCCTCTCGCTATGCCTGCAAGATCTCCAGCACAACCGCCCTCCAGGAGGCGCTGAAGGAGAAGCAGCAGCACATTGAGCAGCTGCTGGCCGAGCGAGACCTGGAGCGGGTGGAGGTGGCCAAGGCCACGAGCCATGTGGGGGAGATAGAGCAGGAGCTGGCCCTGGCTGGGACGGGCACGACCAGGTGACGTCTGTGCAGACGGCAGTGCCGGGGCCAAGAGACGCTTGCGGCAAATGCTGGGCGCGACCTTGGTGCAGGCGGTGCAGGGAGAGGCCGTGGGTCCCCGTCTGCCGTCGTTGCGGTGGCATCCGGCGCGTGGTTTGATCGCATGCACCTTCTGCTCACCCCGTGGGGGTTCAGGGAGCGCCGAGTTATCCCCGCTGGTGCTTTCGTGGTGTGGTTCCCCCCCGGCCTTCCAGAAACGCTGCGGCTTAGGTGGGAGACGTGTTCAGCATGCCGCGGTGGCAGGTGGCGGTGCCAGCCCACAGAGGGCTGTCGGGGGTGGGCGAGGACACTCACGCGCAGTTGCCTCCACAGCACGTCCTGGAGCTGGAGGCCAAGATGGACGAGCTGCGGGCCATGCTGGAAGCGACCGACTGGGAGAAGGTGGAGCTGCTGAACCAGCTGGAGGAGGAGAAGAGGTGAGGCCGTGCCAGGAGCTGGGGGGCTGCCTCGGGTGGGGTGCTCCTGGCCTTCCAGGGCTGTGAGAACCACAAACTAGCGGGTGCCCAGTCCTGAGAGTGGCCTCATTGGGGGGGATGGGGGGAGCTCACTGGAGCCCAGCCACCCCCGGCCCTCCCTGCTGTGTCCACGTGGCCTGGTGTTCAGGAGACCTGTGCTGGCTGGCCGGGAACTGTCGTATCCCAGTGGGGCCCTGTGGGAGTCCCTGGGGTTAAGTCCTGGGCGGGAGGAAACCCGCAGCACCCATGGGGCACGGCAGCAGACAGGCAGGGCTCAGGCCAGGCTGCAGACAGACGGACACGGGGTGCCGGCCAAGACGGTCTTCTCAGATGGGCTCCCGGCAGTGTGGTGCCCAGGGGCACTGCCAGTGCCCGGCTCAGCCCCTCAGCTCCACATGCCGAACTCGCCACGTCCCCTGGGAGCCCCTCCTGCCCCCCCGCCCTGGCCCCGAGTCATTTGCTGCTTCTCCCCCAGGGGCTCAGTTGTTGTCCCGATGTGGGGACAGGCGCTGGCTGGGAGGGACTGGCACGCGCACCTGGTCAGTCTCTAACCACCTCTGTTAGCTGCGAGGCAGAAAAGGCTGATATGGCACTGCGCCTGGCGTTGGCTCGACAGAGCTTCCTCCTGTAGCCTGCGGGTCCTACCCAGTGCTCGCAGCCGAGGGGACTCGCTGACTTTTTTTTTTTTCTTTTTGGGTCAATCCAGCGATGCTCCCTGCCTCGGCACTCAGGAATTACTCCTGGCATTGCCCAGGGGACCATAATGGGATGCTGGGAATTGAACCCGGGACGGCCACGTGCCAAGACAAATGCCCTGTCTGCTGTACTCTCGCTCTGGCCCTCGCTGACTCTCTCAGCCCTCCTGTGTGTGGAGGCGGGGGCTGGGTCAGGCGCGCATCTACAGGATGGTGGCCCTCATGGGGGGCAGCAGTGACGCCCCTCACAACTCTCCCTCTCCCCCACAGGAAAGTGGAGGACCTCCAGTTCCGAGTCGAAGAGGAGTCCATCACCAAAGGCGACCTGGAGGTAAAGCCCGGGCAGGTCCCAGAGGCTTGCAGGGTGCAGGCAAGGATGCGGGGTGGCCTGGCCGACCCCGCCGGGACCACTTCTGCTGGAGACTCAGAATCAGACAGGGATACCAGGGGTCATGCACCTGGCAGGGCCCGGCGGAGGCACCTCTGCTCCTTGGGGCCGGAGGCTGCTGTTGATGAGCGTTTTCCTCTCGTTCTGACAGTTGGGTCTACGCCTTTGCCTCAGCTTTGATTTTCAGTCGAGCAGCACAAATCAAATCCTTTAGAACCCCAGTTTATTGGAAGGTATTCCTTAAAACAAGAAAAAGCAAACAGTCAGTTTGCAAAAGAATAATTTCTATTTCTGCTTCTTTTCCTTCCTGTTTTAAGTTCATGGAAATTTTGTTTTCCCACCAGAAGGAGGTGAAGGCCCTGCAGGCGGCCTCCGAGAAGCTCGCCAAGGAGAACGAGGGGCTGAGAACTAAGCTGGACCATGCCAACGAGGAAAACACGGACGTGATCGCCCCGTGGAAGTCCAAGCTGGAGACGGCCATCGCCCCGCACCAACAGGCCATGGGCGAGCCGAAGGCGTCCGTGAGCCGGGGCGTGGGCGCCGAGGCGGCCGAGCTGGCCGAGCTCAAGATGCAGATGGAGAGGCTGCAGTTCGAGTACCAGCAGGAGGTAGAGAACTCGAAGGCCCAGCAGGTGGCTGAGCGTGCAGCGCACGCCTTTGAGCTGCAGACGCTCAGGTCGCGGCTGGTCAGGACAGCCCAGGAGCAGAAGAACAGCCTGGAGGCCGCGCGGGCCAAGCTCGACCAGACCGAGGACCAGCACCTGGTGGAGATGGAGGACGCCCTGAACAAGCTGCAGGAGGCGGAGACGAAGGTAACGCACCTGGAGGGGTTGCGGGCCATGTGTAGGCAGCAAGCCCAGGCCCTGGCCGACGCCACGGCGCAGCTGGAGGCCACCCAGCAGAAGCTCTTGCAGCTCGATGGGCTCCGAAAGGCCAGTTCCGAGGTCAATTGGGAATGGAGAAGCTCAGGCAGCAGCTCCAGGTGGCTGAGCAGCAGATTCAGGAGTTAGAGAATGCAAAGCGGGCCGAGAGTGGCAGGTTGGTACCCGGGTGCCCTCGCCCACTTCCACGCTCGCTCCCTGCATGCTGTGTGTCTGTCTGCTCGCCGCCGTGTTCCGGCTTGGTGCTGACAGGTCTCCCGGTCACGTCCCGTGCGGTTCCCTCTGATGGGACTGAGAACGTGTCGGCACGATTCTGGGACTGTCATTGGTCCCCAGCACCCAGATGCCGTGCAAGCCTTGGCCCCGGCTAATTGGGCCCGTCTGGGGTCTTTCTGAAACTGAGAACTCTTCACAAGGCCAGTGAGAAAACAAGATAGGAGCCCCCAAAGCAAACCTCTGCCCCCCCCCCCTTGGGCCCCCTGCGTACTCGCCGAGTCCGCCCAGACCCTTGGGCTCGAGTCTGGCCGCAGGGTTCTTTCCCTGACCTTGCTGACCACCTGCTCGTGTGACTGGCTTTGCCAACCTCTCCCCGAGGCGCCTCAGTTTCCAGCTGGTGCTCAATGCCTCTGAGCCTCTGAGCTCCCTCAGGGCTGGTGACGTGGCCCATCTTGGTATTTCTCATTGCCGGCCCCTCCCGGCCTGCAGCACAAGCCCCTGCCCAGCCCTGCAGAGATTTCATCCCTTTCAGCCTCTAAGGGGTGCTTGGGCCAAGTCCGCCTTCCAGCATGGCCTCCTGCTGGCCACGGACATGGACTCTCATGGTAGCCCTGACCCTGGGGAAGGACAAGACAGTGAGATCTGGGCCAAGCCGAGGAAGCTGCAGTTCTCACCCAGGAGCCCCTTGGAAAAATGCCCTTTAACTCCTATAGGATTGTGGTGGCAGGACGCACCCTCCCAGCCGCCCCCCACCGACCCCCATGGCGCTGTGCGCTTTGTTGAAGAAACTTCTCTGTTGGCCAAGATGGAAGGGCTGTGGGATTTGTAGACAGGACTGACAGACATAACAGAAGGACCCAGAGACCCCCGGGAGTTCCTCTCAGGACTCAGGACTCCTTAGCTGACATTCCAGAAACAAACAGAATCAATTCCTAGGACACAGCAGGGCATAGTTGAACCACTTGTTCGCATCAAGATGTAACAAACGTCACGTTCTGCTGTCTAGTGGATTAGAGGTTCTTCAATTTAAATTTCATATTGAAACCCCTCAAACTTTTAAAGTCACAGACAAGAAACTACAAGAAAGTAAATCTTGGGGGCCAGAGTGATAGTACAGTGGGAAGGGCATTTGCCTTGCACACGGCCTACGTGAGTTCGATCTCCAGCATCCCATAGGGTCACTGTCATTGTCACTGTCCTCCCTTTGTTCATCAATTAGCTCAAGCGGGCCAAAAAAAAAAAAAAAAGATAACATTTTCTTCCCTCCCTTCCCTCCCTTTCCCTTTCTTCCCTGTTTCCTCCCTCCCTCCTTCGTATCCTTAGCCTCCCTCCTCCCTTGCTTACGTCCTTCTTCCTCGCCAAGCCATGCTCTCGGCTCTGGGGTCCTCCCGCCCAGCAGTAGTGGGTCTTTCAGCTTGTGGACCGATCTCAGGCTCGCCCAGTGGTGCTGCAGTTCCAACTCGGGCCTGGTGTGTACTCCAGCCCTTTGTGCCGTCTCCCCGCCCCTGGAAAGTCAGTCTTTCTCATAGGCTTTCTTATTTTCTGGTCACTCCAAATGTAGGTCTAGAAAACGCCTCTGTTTGAGCCGTTTTCAGTAACCACTAGACAGTCATCACCAGAACTGACGGCGCCAAGGCCTTGGCTTTGAGAACTTCAGGCAATCGCACTCACCTCACGCCTCTGTTTTTCGGGGTTGTGTTGGGTCATGGGCTTCTCATACGTGCTTTCTGTTTTGTTTTCCCCTTCCTGTTCCTGTTCGTCCCCTTGGTCCATTCACTCCATCCTTGTCTCTCTGGTAGGCCGAGAGCCTGGCCGAGGAGCTGCAGGGGAAGGAGCTAGCGCTTCGTAGTCTTCAGGAGAACTTGAACGAAGTCAGTCGAGTGAAGGAGGCTTTGGAGAAAGAGCTTCGGAGTTTGGTGAGTACCAGGGGAGTCGGACGCTGATCTTTACATTGCTGAGGGCAAAGCGAAGCCTCCTCAGGCGAGCTCGGCCCTATCGCCTCTGAGGCTCACATTGTGTGTGTGTATGTGCTGGTGAGCAGAGTCGCCGTGTGTGTGCGGGTATGTTTGTGTGTTTGTGTGTTTGTGTGCATTGTATGCGTTGTGTGTGTGTGTGCGCGCGCGTGTGTGCTGGGGGCAGGCAGGGGGCCCACAGCTGATGGTGGCCCCCGGCTCCCCGCAGGGGGAGAAGGTGGACGTGAGCCGCAGCCAGTCCCAGGCTCTGCAGGCCGAGCACGCCAAGCCCACCACGGAGAGCCAGGCGCAGCACGAGGAGGCGCTGCAGGCCCTGCAGAAGCTGCTGCTGCAGGCGGAGGAGAAGCTGCAGGCGGTGCAGGCGGAGAACGGGAGCCTGCTGCGGGAGGTGGCCGAGCTGAAGACGCAAGCCGACAAGGCCAAGGTGTGTGGGCGCAGGGCCGCCGTCTCGGGGTCGGGCTCTGTTGGGGGCCTCGGCCTGCAGCCTCAGACACTTCCTCCGTCCGTCGGCGCCTGTGAGAGCCAGAAGGGGGTTGCTCCCAGGGCGCCCGGCAGAGCACATAGAAGCCCAGGGACCCCAGCTTGGGTTGTCTGTTTTGTTTTTAGCTTGCTCAGTAAGTTCAGGCCTTCGTGTTTTCACTTGACTGCTCAAAGGCATTTTTTCATGTATCAAAGAAATGTTAAGGTTCGAAGCTCAGTGGGGAGAAATAAAGCGGCTGGAACTAGTGCAGTGAGAGGGCACTTGCTGTGCACGTGACCCACCGGGGGATCCCCAGCATCCCCCATGGTCCCCCAAGCACCCAGGAGGAAGCCGTGACCTCTGCCGGGTGTGAACCCCAAAACAAGAAGGAAAATAATGTACACACACATATATGTGTGTACATACATAACATGTACATATGTGTACATCTTTATATCCATATAATAAGTGTATTTTAATTCATATGTACATATTTTGATACATTTTCAGTTTTACACACTTGGTCCCATGTATAGTTTATACATATATGTGTATGCCTATACATATATGTGCTTGTATGTATATGTGTGTGTATACATATCTATAAGCCAGTGGAAAGAAAACGGAACCGAGCTTACATCAGAGGAAACCAGGGCTGCTGAGCGGCGGCCATGGCCCGCGTGTGTGTTGGTGCCCGGCCTCTTTCCACCACGCACCAGAGCCAGGGCTACGTCTCCTCCCTGGACCACCTGCACGGCCCAGTTCTGTGGCCAGCAGCCTCGTGTGCATGCTCAGGTCAGTCCCATTCCAGTAACCTGACCGTCAGCGGTCAGCTGCCCAGCGCAGCGCACGCCAGTAGCCTGCTGCGGCTCATGGCTGCTGAGCTGGACAGAGAAGATAGCCCTTGCTGCAGAAAGTTCTGGAAAGTACATGGCGGTTAAACTATGGTGTGCATTGAGACTCAGAAACGAAGACGCACAACCCGTTGCTGACGGGCAGGGAGAGCAGGTGAGGGAGACTCTGGCCCGTGTGCGGCCACTCCTCCTGGAGCCCCTGGGCCCCTCCCAAATTTCTGCAAACACTGCCCTCCCATTGTTCATCGATTTGCTCGAGCGGGCCCACTAATGTCTCCATTTTGAGACTTGTTGTTACTGTGTTTGGCAAGCAAAACCTGTTGGCTTCAGTCTCCAAAGCTTGGTGGATTAGTCTGGATTTTCTATAAAGTGTAAAACTTTTGGGACTAAGTCCATTTCCTGCCTCTGTTTGTCCCTGTGAAAGTCGTTTTGCAAGCAATGGTTGCTTTTCCCTTCCCCTCCTGCACAAAGTTCAACAACAAAATACTTTTTGTAGTTCTTTGAATTGTACTGGAAACTAGTTTTTTAATGCATCCCTTCTATGACAGAGTGATGGATTTTGTAATGGAATAATTGAAGTGGGGGGAAAAATCTTATGCCCCAATGTCAAGATCCAACTGTACTTAAAACTTCCGGGGAGCTGTCAGGAATAATTTCAGACGGCATTTCAAAAATAAAATGGCTGATAGTAGAATGGGTAGTGCTGCCTTGTACTTGGCCAACCCGGGTTGATCCCCAGCATCCCGTATGGTCCTCCGGCCCTGCCAGCAGTGATCCCTGAGCACAGAACCCTGAGCGAGACCCGAACACCACCAGGTGTGGGGCCCCCATCCACAAAATAGGCAGGTAGATATGTTGACCCTGTGAAGCTAACTGCGTTTGAGCCTCTCCATCCTGCGAGTGTGTGTGTGTGTGTGTGTGCGTGTGTGTGCGTTTGTGTGCGCGCACGTGTTTGTGTGTTTGTGTGTGCATGCACGTATGCACGCGTGTGCAGGTAAGACTACTCTGCCATTTTCATTTCTGGTGTTTAGGCCACATTAAGTGCTTGGCTTGCTTGTGCCTGCTTGATCTCATTCTTGTTTCCGTTCTTGCCCGCTTTTGTTTCTGTAGTCATTAACTTACCTAATAACATCAGAGGAAATTGAGCTGATGTCGGAGGATCGCAGGGCCCTGAGGTCAGAGAATCAATTGCTGGCGAAGGAGAAGCTCTCTCTGAAGTCAGAGAGAGAGTCATTGCTATTGAAGTTGAAGGAAGCGGAGGCCAAAAACTCTTCGCTGCGGGAAGAGCAGAGGAAGCTCTGGCTGTTGAACCAAGCGATTCTTTTCGATAAAGAGAAGGTCATCGAGGCCAGGCGGGCCGCAGAGAAGCTCTGGCAGGAGGAGCAGCTCGGCCGAGAAGCCCTCGAGGCAGAGAAAGAGAAAGTGCTGGAAGAAGCCAGGGCGGTGCAGGAGGAGCTCCAGAGGGTGGGCGCGGAGAACGACGCCCTGCAGGTCGCCAAGGTGGGGCTGCAGGCCCTGGTGGAGGAGCTGCAGATGAGCAAGAGCAGCCTGGTGGCTGAGTGTAAGAAGGGCCTGGAGGAGAGGGGCCAGCTGGAGGAGCATGTCAAGAAGCTGGTTCTGGAGAACCTATCCCTGGCCAAGGACAAGGACAACATCATCCAGAAGCTGCAGTGCTCCTATCATGAGCTGGCTTGGGATCAGAAGTCGCTGGCGCAAGAGATCGAGGAGCTCACGGCCGAGAAAGAGTCGGCCCTCGAGAAGCAGTTGGAGCTCGACAGCCTGTGCCTGGCCCTGAAGCTGGAGCGTGACGGCCTGGCTCAGAGGAACAAGGAGCTGCAGCTCGAGAAGGACCTGCTGCGCCAGGAGCAGGAGAAGCTGGGCGCCAGCCTGGAGGCGGCGCTGCAGGCCAAGGAGCTGCTGGGCACCGAGGCCAGCTGCCTGCGCACGCAGCTGGACGAGGCCACCAAGACCGTGCACAAGGCCGAGCTGGAGGCGCTGCAGCAGGAGCTCCAGGGGCTGGCGGCCAGCCAGGGCGCCCTCGAGGCGGCGCTGCAGGAGGCCAGGGACGCAGCCCGCAGCCTGGAGAAGACACACGCCAGCGTGCTGCAGGCCAAGGAGGCGCTCGACGCCGAGCGGCAGGAGGAGTGCCGGCGGCTGGCGGAGGACAGGCTCGCGGCACAGCAGGCCCTGGTGCAGGAGCGGGAGGCCCGCGCCCAGGAGACCCAGGCGGCCGCCCACAAGGCCAGCCAGCTGCGAGGCCGCCTGGTGCTGCTGGAGCAGGAGGTGGAGGAGCTGCGGGCGCGTGCCCAGGGGCTGCAGGCCGAGCACCTGGACCTGCTGGAGGAGAAGGCGCGGTCAGAAGAGAAGGTGGCCGAGATCCTGCGGGAGAAGGAGCAGCTGGCCGGCAGTTACTTCCTCCTCCAGAAGGAGGTCAGTCGGCTGGCCCAGACCAGCAGCCACGTCTCGGCCAACCTCCTGGAGGCCCAGAAGGAGAACCGCATACTGAGGAAGGACAAGATCAGGCTCACCTTCAAGATCAGAGAGCTCAAGACGCTGCACTCTTTTACGGTAAAGTGGAGCAGGCCCGACCCCCGTTGGCCCCGGGCACCCCCTTTTAGCGGTTAAGAGGATTGCTCTTCGTCGGCACAAGGAGCGGTGGATCCCCACGGAACCCGTGTGTCACGGGCTGTTTGCT